GGGGCAGGGTGGTAGGGCGCGGCGCGGGGGTCGCGAGGGCGGCCTGAGCGCGCCCCGCGAGCTGCAGGGTCGTTTCACACCGGCTAGTTTGTAATATTCATGCCGCGCCGAGCTCCCCGCCGCTCAGCCCCGCTCAGCCCCGCTCAGCCCCGCTCCGCGAAGCCCGCCCCGCTCTGCTGTCAGGCACCCTTCGTGTTGGCACAGCTGGTCTTTGCGCGAGACATTCTCCGCCCCGACGGCGCTGCTCGCAATGGCAACAGCAGCGGGCGGCGGGGAGAGAAAAAAAGCAAACATTAGAGGTCGGCAGCTATCTAACCCCGGCTGGGCGGGCCGGTAATGGTGCGGGTCACGGCGGCCTGCTGTCTGTAATGGGGGACATGAGCGACACTGGCCACGAGTGCCCCGCTGTTGTGCGCCTAATGGCCGCTCGGCTAGCTCGGCCGGGCCATGGGCCGGGCCATGGGCCGGGCTGACCATGACTGATTCCCCCGCGGCCGCCCGCTGCCCGCGGCGCACCGCGCGTACACGTACGACGCGCTGACAATCAGCGGACACGTTTGTCGTTTGTCCGCGACCGGTACGCTTCCCTGTGTTTTCAGATGTCCTTTTGGTGCTGTGTTGGATAACAGGTTGTTGGAGAAATAAAAAAGTTTGTCTCGAAACAAAAAATGGCGATTGCCTTACCAGTTTCTCGATCTGCTTGTACGTGATGGCAAAGTAGGGCACGTGCGTGACGGAGTGGAACACGGGCTCGTAGGCCGTCCTGGCGGACTGCAGGCCGACGAGCAGCCGGTTGGCCATCATGACGAGCGCGTGCAGCTGGGCGTCCAGGTCCGGCGCCTCGCGCACCGGCCGCATCAGCTCCTCGTACCAGTCGGCGGCGGCCTTGCGCAGCGCGCAGCCCAGCTCGGAGCGCAGGTCCTTGTTGAAGGGGCAGCACTTGGCCATGGCGCGCATGTGGCCGAGCGCGGCCAGCGTGCGCAGCAGCCGCTCCAGGCGCACGCACAGCTCCTTGCAGCGCGGCGGGTACAGCTGGCGGTGGCGCCGCACCAGCAGCAGCCCGTGCTCCGTCCAGAGGTTGAAGGCTTCGGCCAGCGCGCCCTCCTGCACAACGGGAAAATTACATATTTAAAAAATAGTATACTTGTTAGCATTTTGGTTTGCAAGTTTCAGCGAAATTAATTTCATTTACCTCCTCTTGCGAGAGCGGGCCCGAGTCCCACTGCTCTTCCAGGTCGTGCATCAGCTTGAGCACGATGCCGAAGTCGATGGGCGTGTGCACGGCCGTCCGCACGAAGGCGACGAAGCGCACGAGCGCCAGCTGCAGGTCCGTGATGTCGCCCTGGATGGCGTGCTGGTGCAGCACGGCCTGCGCGCCCGCGCCCAGCTCGCCGCGCCACTCCCAGGTGCGGCCCCCCAGCTCCCGCTCCCGCAGCGCGTGCGCGATGAACACCTCGTGCAGCCGCTCCTGCTGGCGCACGTCCCGCCAGTTGTCCTCCTCGGAGGTGCCGCGGTCCTCGCGCGTCGACAGCCACAGCTTGAGGTGGATGCGGCCCTGCACCGTGGAGCGGTGCGTGCGCGCCTCCAGGTTGAACCACGACTCGACGCCCTGCGAGGGGATGTCCGCCACGGGGATGTTGATGCAGCCCAGGAAGTCGTCCGCGGAGCCGGAGCGCGCCGACTGCGCGATCTGCTTGAAGAAGCGGCCCAGCCCCTTGACGCCGCGGACCTCGTTGAGGCGCGACACCGCGTCCAGGACGGAGGACTCGTCGTCGTGGTCCCTGCGGGCCAGGGGGAGGGGGGTAATTAAAAACCAACAAAAAGAGAGGATAACGGGATTTGGAAAAAAACAACTGATCATTAGTGTTGGTCTCCCGGGTGGTTGCGACCCCAACTCCCACTCACCAAATGTCTAGGTGCAGGATGTCGCTGCTCACGTCGTCAATGTCGCTGGAAAAAGAGAAGAGCGGGAGCAAAGACATGAGACCGGGGCTTCGCAGAACTGATTGCAATCAATACTTGGCGTCATTAGGCTCTCTCTCTCTCTCTCTTCCTCCTCTCCGCCTCTGCCTCTGCCTCCCTCCTATCTCCCAGCTCCTAACCTTTCTCTCGCTCACACGTCCGCTCCCCGAAAGGCTTCCCTCCTCCGCCACGACCCACCTCCCCCCCCCCCTCTCCCCACGCGCTCCGCTCAAATTAATTCCGAGGGGAGACAGCGACAACAGGAGCGCGATGCCCGTCGGCGACGCCCGTCGGATCCCGTCGAAGCCCGTCGGAGCGGATCCCGTCCCGTCGCCGGCCGCGTCGTTGCGGGGCTGCGGTGCGGTGTGCCCGGGTGCGCCTCGGGGCCAGTCGCTTCGGCAGCCTCCCCCGCACCGCAGCGCTGCCGAGCCAGTGGCGGTGGAGCCCGGCCCAGCCACGCGCGGCACTTGTCAATTAGTTAGTCCACCTGACCCTGATCCCCAGCCCGACCCAGTTCCCTCCGGCTGCCGCGCCCCGCCGCCCCGCCGCCTCCCCCGCGCCCCGCTGCTGCCCCGGGGCTGGTCCTGGTTCGGAAATTAAACTTGCCGAAGTGTTGAGACTTTCCAACTCGGCGTGACGTGGCGGAGCGCTGCCTACCTCGGCGGGGCGCGGCGGGGCGCGGCGGGGCCAACCCTATAAAAGCACCAGCCGGGCCCAAATACCAGCTCGGTTTAGGCCAGGACGCAGGGCACAGGACCGGGCAAGGCAGGGCAGGGCAGAGCGAGGCGGGGCTTGCGACCGTCGCCCGGCTCAGCTACGGGTTGACATGCCTCTGATGTCCGCCCTCGCCCCGCCCCGCCGGTCTAACAAGCTGAGGGAAGGCTTGCACAATTACGCCATCATCCTCTCTCCTCATCAAGTCCCCCCCCCCCACTCCACCTCTTTCTCCTTCTCGCTACAAACTCGATGCGGGGCGTCGGAACAAGTTGCTGTCTTTCCTTCCCCAGTCGCGTTCGACGGAGAGGAAGGAATGACGCGCTCCGATGGTCCTGGTCTCTCTCCCTCTCCCCGTGTTCCACTCGCTATTTCTACCGCGCGCTCTCTCTCTTCCCCCTCAGTTTTCGCTATGCTCGGGAAATCGTGGATATTTAATAATTGCTTTCAAGAACATCCGCGCGAGCGCAGATATGAATTCCATTCGAATGGCGCTCTGCGCTGCTCTGCCCGTGGACCGGGTGGACTGAGTGGGCTGACGGGGCGGGCGGAGGGGAGGCGAGGGCCAAACACTGCGCGGCGGCAGCAGGTTGTCGATGGAAGAAATTCCTTTTCGGGCTGCACCACTCCGCACCACGCTTCGTCGTGTCAGGCGCGCCCCGTTTCGCCCCGCCCCCGACAAGCCCGCCTTGTCGTCCCACCCCGCCCTACCATACCCCGCCCCGCCCGGCCCCGCCGCGCCCCGGGGGTGTAGCAACGCGATGCCGTCGCTGGGGCCCAGAGGCTCCGAGCACGGCACCCCAGCCACCCGGCTGCCTCACTTTTAATACCGCTTGCCGGGGCAAGGCGGGGCGGGGCGGGGTGGTGCCAGGCGGGGCGGGGTGGAGGCCGAGATGAAGGGACCCACGGGGGGAGGCGAGGGAGGGGGAGGAGGCGCAGAAGCCCCGGCTTCCCCCCTCAGTTCCGATCCCGTCGCGCCGGCCAACTTCTCATGTATTTTGATGAGAAAACATTTTCTTTCGGCCGCGTAGCATCTCATTATTACTACAAGCCGGGCCTCGGCCTCGGCCCGGAGCCCGGCCGGCAGCGGGACGGCGTGGCCGAGGCAGGCCGAGGCCCTAATTGTCCAAGCCGCGCCGCCGTCGCAACACCTCGGCTGCTGAACATGGCGAGGCCGGCCGAGGCCGCGGTGAGGCCGGCGATGTTAAACCCCCGCCGCGGGTCAGGGGTCGGGAGGGGTCTTCTGCCTGGGAATGGAGGGGAGAATATTTCCTCCGGACGCGCACTACTACTACTAGCGTGGCGGAGTTTCCTCCTCGAGGACGGCGCGGCTGCTGGGAGGTCCCAAAGGGGCGGCCCCTTGCAGTGGCGGCGGGTTCCCAGCTGCCCCGGGCGTCGTGGCCGCCGTGGCTAGTCTCTTTGATGAGGCCTCCTACTCTCGCCGCGCCGTCGCGCCCGCCGCGTCGGGAGGAGGAGGGGGCGAAGAATAATTCAAACGAGGTATATACTGCAGTGCCGTGGGCTTGACGCGTCGCGTCGCGTCGTGTCAGCGGCGCCGCGGGTCGCCGGGGGTGGGCTGGGGGGCGGGCGGAGCACGGGGGCCACACTGCCAGCATCTTTGCCGAGGAGCAGGAGCCGGCAGGAGCGCACAGCCCCCTTCCCCCTGCCACATCTCCCCGGCCAGGGTCGCCTCTGCGATGCGACACTTCTCCATCCATCCGTCATACGACCCGCCCCACGAGAAACACGTATGACGAAACAAAACAAAAAACGAACTTTGGACAGGTTGGAATTTCATGCGGAGCCCCTCCCCTCTTCCCCTCCGGTCGTCGCCCCCTGTCCCGCGCGCACCGGTCGGAGGGGCGGAAGGGAAGAAATTGATGATGTAAATCAGGGGAGGGGATGTGTCGCCGTGAGGAGAGCGGCATTCGTCTTGCGGCTGCGGCGCGGCGTGGCGCGTCGTTTTGTCACTGTTGTGACAGGCGCTCGGGGGAATGAGAGTGAGCGAAGCCGACCGGCGCGTCGTTCGTGTGACGGTGACGGTGACGGCGGCGGTGACGGTACTCACAATCTGAACTTCTCGTTCCAGCGCGGGTTGAGCGTGGCCTGGCGCACGGACGTGGCCCGGATGAACTTGGCTGGCACGGCGGACGACATGGAGTCGCGCTGGTCCCGGTGCGGCCGCTGCTCCCGACCCTCGCGCCGCTTGAAGCTCAGCCTGAAGCTGTGGGGGCCAAAGTGGTGCGGCGTTAGGGCAGTGTGCGGCCCAGGACGGGATAAACCTGGATAAACCCTGGATAAACCCCTGCAGCCCAAGCTGCTCGAGAGGGTACACATGTTTTCGTTTGCCTTGAAGGCGCGGCCCTGGCAGGGTGGGCCCAGCAACGGCCCGTGCCCGCCGGCCGTACACTGCACGGCGCTCGGGTGGGCACAGAAGGGCACTCTACCGAACCCACCGGACCAGTTTCTGTTGGTAGCTGAAGCAATAGGGGAGAGGTAAAGGGTTTTACGTGCGTGTGTACCTGTGGTGCTTCCGTAGCTTCTCGTGGTGCGCCGGCCCGTCGTCCGACTCGGTGGACTGCTGCGGGGAGGCGGGGGTGCTGAGTGAGTGCCCCGCCCCCGGGCCC